CAGTCAATAGTGTATTCATGGAGGCATGACTTCTGAAAAACACATGACTCAAGATCTATGAAGCTTCGGCTTTTTACATCCCCAACATGAAACCCTGTCATTAACCCTGTGGGGTTCGTGACTCATTATCGGAGCCTGTGAAGCAGGCTGCCCCTTGGGAGGTGCAGGCAGGGCTGGGATGGTTGGGCAAGGCCACGGGGAGCAAGAGGTGAGGTGATCTGTTTTTCAGCCAATTTACAGCCTGTGGGGTGGGTGCTCTGAGCCCCAGGGGGTAAGCTGAGCTTGGAATCACAGTCAGGGGACAGCTTTGGCTGGTGCCTCAGCGTGGCTGCCAGGTCTCAGGGTGGCAGGAGCTGAGGCAGGTGCCAGAGGGACCCACCCAGGACAGAAGGAAGTCAACCGCAGTGGCTCCACCCTGCTGGCACTGGCTGCTCTTCACCTTCAGGAATCCCCAGAAAGCCAAGGCCATTCTCCCACTGGCTCCCAGCCTGTGCACCGCACAGCCCGGACCCTCTACAGCGTCTCTGCACGTGCCCTGCCCTTTGCCTGGGTCTCTGGGTTCCTTCCTGCCTTGCCACTTCCCCTGAGGCCTCCCCCAAACACCCATCTCCTTCCGCCTCCTCCCCTTACCCACCCCTCATCCTGATTAACTCCACCCTGTCTCATGGGACCCTGGCTGCTCCCCTGTTTGTCATCTGCCCCCCACCCCCCGCCTGCCCCAGCATGTAAAGGGCAGGAAGGCAGGCAGGGAGGGACCTGGTCTGCCTTGTGCACCCCACTGCACCCCGCACCCAGCGCTGCTTGGCATGGAGTCCATGCCCTGAAATTATAAACTGAACAAAGGCTGTCACCTGGGGGCTTCAGAGACACACACCCCTCCCGCCATAACCACAGGCACAGTCTGCCGTTTAGCAGTTCAAACCCCGACTGGAACTCAAGCACGTGCTGGCGTTTATTTTTGGTGCATGGTCCAGTGCTCCCTGGTTCCCACCTTGCAGGCGCAAGGCTGGCCTCACTGGGACTCAGGCTGCAACTTTACTTTTAGCAAACACAGGGGGCCCTCACCTGGCGGAGGCGCTGTGTTCATGGCCAGCGCCGGGAGGGGCTGCCAGCGGGCCCTCTGTCCCTCCTGTGGGTGCAGGAGGACTCCTGGGAGATCCTGGAGCCGTCCCTTCTGTGGCTGCCATGTACTGAGAGGGGGGCCGGGGCTGAACAAACTAAGGTTCAGCAAAGGGAGAGAGCGGATTGAGGGAAGCTTGGAGAAGTCGGCAGTCACGCTGGGCCTTGAGTCCTGGCTGAGGAAAACAGCCTTCTTTTTCCTTGACATGGCAAGTTGTCAGGTTTGGTGAATAAAAGTACAGATGCCCGCACTGTGCATGGGACCTGTGTACCCTAGAAATACCATCGTTTCTCTGAAACCAACTGGAACAGGAATCCTGTATTTCATCAGCAAACCTCAAGTTGGGGGGAAAGACTTTCTTCAAACAACCTTTGGGTTGCGTGCGAGCTTATGACACATTCGTACATCCATTAAGTATTAGATGCGGCTCCAGGCAACTCTATCGTGAACGTTTGCAATTCAGGAGAAGCCGTCACTTGGCTCCGTCCCTGCGCAGTGGCATCAGTGACTGCCCGCCGCGCGACGGTGGAAGAACCACACTGACTTTAATGAGCACGAGCATCATACATCGCCCGGTTAAACCCCGGAGCAGAACGTCGTTAAGATGACAAGAGCATCTGCTCGCCACCCTCTCCCACTCACAGGACCGCTAGCTCCTGTCACTGTTTCTTCTGGCAGGTCCCCGTGTTTCTGGAAAAAGTAGACTCCACTGCGATGTCTTTTCTTGGTGACAATCTCTATGATCCGCTGCCTCCCTGCTCTGTGTTTAAAGATGGTAATAAGTTTACTTAGAAGAAATGGGCTGGGTCCTGTGGGGGTGGGGGTGGGAAGTGGGAGGTGGCCTTTGAAAACATGACCCACTTGATTCCCGGTGATCCCGGCTGCAAAGTGCTTTTAAATTAGCGCTCGGGTTCACCTAAGGATGCCAGCACCCTCCCTCCGCCCGCACAGCTTCCAGGGAGGGCTGTGTGTTCAGTTCCTCAGGTTCCCGCTATGCCTGTAAGTAATGCCTCTTTGCGTTCACTTCTCCCCCCCGCCCCCACTCAGCTTTCACGTGTTTGTGGAGTCCCTGCTTTGTTAGAGGAGTTTGTGTGTGCCCCACCCTTCCCTCCTAATAGTCCTCGGGCCAACTTGGGGTGGGATTTTTGACCTTTGAAAACTGGGGGTCGGGCAGGGCGGCATCCCTGGGGTGGAAAAAACATGAACAAAACCCAGCAGGAGGAGAAGGGTGGGGCTGGGTTGCTAGGGGTGTTGTTTGGCTGAGAGCGATGAGGTGGGCACGCCATGGGCAGTCCAGCAAGGCCTCCCTTGTCCAGGGGAGAAGTGTGTGCTTTGGCAGGTGGAGGCGGTAGGGAGCCACGGTCACAGCTGGAAGATGTGCAGGTGGAATTCAGGTACGTGGAGGGCGAGAAAGGGGAAGCAGGGGAGTAGGAGGAGGGAGAGGAGGAAGATAAGGATGAGGAGGAGGAGGAGGAGGAGGAGAAGGCAAATGAAGGGGAGGGGGAGGCAGGCCCTTGAAGGGGGCCAGAGCAGGGAGGCAAGAGGCAGCCTGAGGCATGGCGAGTGACATCTTTGGCCTGGGTGGTGCAGTGGGAATGACGAGGCATCACTGTGACACGCCAGGCGTCCTCGTCTTGCCAAAGTACAGTCTCCCGTGAGATGCCACGTGCTGACGGACAGGCCTCCCCTGCCCCAGGATGGGAGAGTGCACATAGTGCAGAGCAGAGGAACCCCGGAAAGTAGAAGGGCATCTTTGAGCTTCTCAGAAGCAGCCTTTGTCGTTAGAGAATTATTCACTTGTTTTTTTCCGTTATGGCTCAAGGAGTTGCGTTTGTGAATATGATGCACGAAGAAGTCAGAGAGCTGAAAGCTGAACCTGACGTTTCATGTTTCACGCCCATCCTGGGAAGTGTAGGGGGCTAGAAACGCTGGCATTTCAGGGGCACTCATGGGAAGAGGGTTAGTCTCAGTGCCCGGCACCTTGGGTGCTGGACTTCATCTCTCAACACCGCCATCTCCCGTCAATCTAAGAGGATTGTATGGAACAACGAAAGCTGACATCTCTAGCGGGCTTGCCGAGGGCTGGGCAGGCTGGCTAACAGTGAGTCATGCTCATTTCAGCGGCTGGGGCCAGGTCAACTTGCATAGAATACTTTCCACCGATCTACTGTGTTTTCCTGAACTGGGAAAGGACACCCAACCACTCGGAGAGATTTCATTTTATAACCTCCACTGTCCAGTGCAATGCTCTGTACTCCTTTTGCAGGCCTGGCAAAAGACCTGGCCGCTTAATGTAGCGTGAAGGCCTGTTCATGTCTTTATATATTAATGCTAGGGGTGCCACCTGGGCATGCAGGGTTGTGACCAGGAGCTGCAGGTTTGCAATGACCTCATAGGGATGCATCATGCTCGATGCTCTGTCCCTTCCCATTTGGGTGGCTTTGGGCAAGGGTCTTCAACGTCTTGAGTCTCTGTTCCCTCCTCTCTAGAATGCCAGTCACATTTGCTGTCTACAGTTGTTGCGGGAATTATGTTTAGGTCTGACCTCTATGGCACTTAGCCCAGAGCCTGGCACTTTAATAGCATTGTTTATTACTATTTTTAATCATGTTCTACATGATGAATGCAAATGGATTAGGATCAGTTCTGATCACTGGTAAGTCACTGGAACGCCCAGAAACTCATTTTCCATATCTATAAAGTGAGTATTAAAATGCTTTGTCCACCCCTGGCCAGTGTGGTCCAGTTGGTTGGGGTGTCTTCCCGCATGCCAAAAGGCGGCCACGGGTTCGATTCCTGGTCAGAGCACATACCCAGGTTGTGGGTTCGATCCCCGGTCAGGGTGTGTGAGGATGTGGCTTCAATGTTTTACTCTCACGCTGGTGTTTTTATCTCGCTCTCCCTCTCTCTAAAATCAATAAAAATAAAATTTAAAACATTGCTTCGTCTATTTCACATTTGTTGTAAGGACTGTATGAAGATTGCATGAAGAACTTTGAAAAGTGGGTACCACTTCTTGATGCTCATAATGCACTTCGCATGTTGCTAAGGGTATGAAATCACTCATAGGGAGTGGTTACTAGTGGCTTAATCCCCCCTCTTTGGGGGAAGGGGATCATTTTCCTAATGCTGCGGCCAAACTGACCCTCCTCGTCATCTGTCCTGTTAGATTGGAGTCAGGGAGACCATGGACTTGGTTGTCCTTTCAGCCCCATCTCTTCCAACGGCCCTTAGGGGGACTCATCCTGTGTGTTGAATGAATGAGAGGACAAATGGGTGAATGATGTAGAGGAGCAAACGCAGGCTGCCAGGAGATGCGGAGGCCACGGTGAAATCCGCGGGGTGTGGGCTCCAAGTGCCTGCTTACCACTCACCAGGGGCTGGGGTGGACCCGACCAGACCCAGTGAATTCCACTCCATTGAAAACCTGACATTTTAAACCGGTGCCCCCGCCGCAGCCGGGTCTATAGGTCTCAGAGCAGAGGAATGTCGTCCTGGAGGGGCAATCAGGGCAGCTTCCCGGAGGAGGCGCCCTCGGGGGCTAAAGAGGCGGGTGCGTTGGGACTGGCGTCGCTGCCACAGCCTAGGGCTCGTCCACAGCCGTAGCCACAGCGCCCGGCACATGCATGTGGAGCAGAAGCTCATCGCCGACCGGCTCCACGGAAAGACCAAGGCAGCGCCCCTCCCGGCGGCTCCCGCCAGGGGT